TACGTGGTATTTTGGAAGTAGGTTATGGGCAAGAAAAGGCTGGGATAGCAGTGGTTCTGGGCCAGGACAGAAAGGGGAAGGCTGAAAATCAGCACCAAATAGTAAAGCAACATCTGGATTATTGTAGGTCAAACATCTGGAAATAATGAGGAGTCTATACAGATAAATGCTTGATTTGGAAAGAAAAGCGTATTCTCAGGGCCAAACTGAGCAACTGCTTTGATTTTGCCAATGGCTGGGTGACTGGGCTCACAGGAGAGGAATGGCAGAGAATGAAGCAGCTGCTTTCTTCCTCTCCCTTTTTAATCCCAAACCTCCTGCACTGTCCAGACAAAGCAAATATCCTGAAGTCTTGAGTTCTTAATTTAGGTTTGTCATCCTGTTCTGCCTACTGAGTCTAGATAGAAAGAGCATGTTTCACCCCACAGGCATGTGTGCAAATTGAGAAGAGCAGCAGGCACAAGCTGAGGCCTGAGGCAGCTGCACCCTCAGCAGCCCAAGTACCTCCCATCCATCCATCAGAAACTTGGCCAACATCAATTATTCAGGACACAATAAGATAATGTGGGGATTATCAGTAACATCAGCCTCCTTGCTTCTCCTCTGCCTTGTTTATTCGCAGTTTTGCTCTGCTAAGCTATTATTTTTTTAAATCAGAACAAAAGAAATGGGCAGGGAGAGCAGCAGCATGACAAGAAACTGGCCAAATAAAGAAAAGTAGTCATGTTGTTAGTTGTCAGCACTTCTTGTTAAATGCAACACACGCAAGATCTATATCTATATTTATCTATTTATTGAGGGAGGAGAGAGAAGGGAGAGAGATAAAGTTTCAGTGAAGCAAATCACAGAGGCACATATAAGAATGTCTATAGCAGCTTCAAAGTACTTCATTTATATTGTTCTACTAGAACAATATAGAGTAAATTATTAAATAAACAGCTGAGAAAGTATGCAATTTCGTGGATTTCAATATTATTATAAAGTTGTACAATAATAATCACTAATTTCAGAGTATTTTTATCAAGGCTAAAAGAAATTCATATTCATTGAACATGCACTCCCTCCTCCCCTCAACTCCTGGCAAACAGTATATCTACTTTCTCTCTGTTTGGGTTACCTATTCTGGACTTTTCCTGTAAATGAAATCATACTTGCTCTTTTGGGTCTGGTTTTTTTTATACATGTTTTCAATGCTTGTCCATATTATAGCAAGAAATAAGTACTTCTTTTTTTGGACTGAATAATATTTCATTGTATGATTGGACCAAAATTGTTTATCTGCTTATAAGTTGATGGACATTTGTTTTTTCTATTTTGGGGCATTATGAATAATTTTGCTAGAAATATTCATGTTTAAGTTTTGTATAAACATGTTTTTCAGTATATACTTAGGAATGGAATTATTAAGTCATATGGTAATACTACATTAAACATTTTGAGGCACTGCAAAGCTATTTTTTAAAGGAACTGCATCATTTTACACTCTCACTAGTAGCAGTGTATGAGGGTTCCAATCTTCCCTTTTTTATTATGGCTGCCATAAGTGGGTATAAAGTGGTATTTAATTATAGTTTTGATTTGCATTCCCTCTATTCCTAATGATATTGAGCATGTTTTCATGTTCTTATAAGCCATTTGTATAGTTGCTTTGAGTAATGTCTGCTGAAGTATTGTACCCATTTTTAAATTGTGTTGTCTTTTTTCTTTTGGGGACATAAGAGTTCTCAGTATATTCTAGGTTCAAGTCTCGGATCAGAGGTATGAGTCATAAATTTTTCTCACATTATGTGGGTTGTCTTTTCATTCTCACTTTTAATGTTTAATTTTTGATTATCATATTCACTATACATATAGTATGTGTTTCAGTGTGATACTGCACTGAGATGCAGTGAGCCCTATACTAGATCTTTAACATGTATTATCACATTCAGTTTTCTAAATTGCTAGGCAAAGTATGTAATAAAATCTACATTTTTTGCAGATTCTGTGAAAGATGAAACCATTTTTAAAGACATACAACTAGTGAATTGTGGAGCTGGGATTCATACTCAAGTCTGCATATGCCTAAGACCTTTACTTTTTCCAAGTGTGAGGTTATTACTTACTGTGTGAAAGTCATTTCTTCAGAGAGATATAATGTAGATGGTTAGGCACATAACCATAGGCCAGAAAGCAAAACATGTTGACAAGCTAACAAACAGCAAGCACGGCTGTGTTGCCTACTCTCTGCTAAGTACAAGGTTAGACACTGGGCATGCAGTGGACTCTATTCTAGGGAATTATACAGTTCTATCTGTATTACTAACTCGGTGAGCAGTTTGGAGGATTATAGAGAAGTGTCTAGCTGCAATTTATGAGAGCAGCTGATTTTCTCAAAACCTGTTTATTGTTTCTTACTTTCTCTTAAAATAAAAAGGTAGTTGCACTGCTGACCACAAGAAAAAACTTGATACACTGTCATGCATTGTTCCTGGATAGTGACATTAAACTCTTGTTAGACAATTTTGTCTCTATGAACTGACTTCTTTGGAGTAGTAGAAGTCCATGTGATTTTGTTCTCTTCAATAAAAGCAATTTGTTAACTTGCGAATGAAAGTTATTTTAATTTATATGCTTTGGATAGACAATTTGACAAAAATGGAGGGAAAAAGAAATCCTCTTTTAACTCTAGATCCTGATATGAGGATTTGGCAATAAGCCTACCTCACCTAGACAGAAATCTAAAAAGCAGAGTTAGAGGGATATGCTCTTGTCATACGATGTTTACCAGGTAGCTGGAGCTCTGGAAACCAAACCAAATAGCTTGTCACAGACACCTAAAGGCCACCAGCAGCTGCCATGAAAATTTCAGATGACCTGCATCAGGAGCTTATTTCAAAAGGAGTTCTGTTCTTTGACTCGTGCTAATGTTTTCTGTTATTTTTGACAAGAAAAAAGTATGGGAGAGTTATCTACACCAGCATGCTGGCTTTGCTCTCATGGTAGTGAATTTCCTTGTCATGAGTGCTATGAGACCACTGATGGTTTTTGTGCTCAGGGAGGATGGTGAGTAGCAAGGAGAGGAGAGTAGGCCTACTGAGGCTGATTCCTTGATCTAATAATCAAAACAACAGAGTAGAGAATATATTTATCTTCTACAAAGAAGAATGTCTCTCTTTTCTTCTTTATTTCTTCTCTCTCTCCCCTCCCCCTTCTCTCTTTCTTTCATATGCTAGAGATTTAATCCCGAACCTTCACATTGAGATATATCTCCAAGCCTTTTATTATTTTTTCTTTATTTTATGGCAGAGTCTCGCTAAATTACTAAATTGCCCTGGCCAGACTTAAACTTGCAATACTCTTGCCTCAGCCTCCCAGAGTACTAGGATTGTGCCATAACACTTGGTTCAAAAGTGGGTTTCATAGGCCAATTTTTTCAGAATGAAGAAATGGGAAAATAGAGCCTAACTAATGTAGAGAAAACAGGAATGCCGGCTAGGATAACTTATCCTATCTCCATTGGGGACTTCTGTGGTGGTATCTCAAAGAGTATGTATACATTCTTCTCTCTTCTGGTTTGGAAGTACGCATTCTGGGCTTTCATTTTTGTGGTTCTAGAAGTCGAACCTAGGGCCTTGTGCATGCTGTGTGCATGCTTTACCACTGAGCTACATACAACCAGGGTTTTAAGGACTTTGAGAAACCACCTGAAATTCACCATGCTAGGAGCAAGCAAAAGAAATCTCATCACATACTTCTTTTTTATAAAGACAGGGCCTATTTATCAATTACTTGAGCCACCTCCATTAAATTCTTCTTTGTAGAAGGCTATGCTCTCTATGTACCTAAGTCCCTGACTTACAAATATTTGAGTTGCAAACTTTAACAGATGTGAACTGACCTTGCATTACAAACGTTTGTAGATGGAAACAAATCACGGAAGTAGCTCACACATCTGGCAGGCATTATCAGTGTTGTGCTTCTGTGTGCGTATTGTACAGTGTGATAACGCACAGGAGTACAGTGCTCAAAGCCCAAGATGTTCAGAAGCATTATTTACAGTATTGCTGTGTGTGTTTCGTTTTCTGTGCTTTATATTGTATATTTGTGTCAAAGGTGTATATGACTCACTTTGTTGGACTAAAAAATGAATCTTGACTTTTAAACATTCTCCCAGAAAGAGCCAGCTAGGGTGAAACTCTGCCAGTTTTAGCACTGAAGGTGTCACATCTTGGAAAACTTCTTAGTTCTGAGAAAACTCTGCAGCAAAGATTAAAATCCATGATTCCCAAATCTCAGTCCATTGCATGTTTACGCCATCTGTCTTTCAGAAACTATTACCTGAGTAATGTTTTCCCTTCTCAACACCTTAGTGCACCAGGATATTTCAACATACTGTAGCATCCTCCCATCCCATTCTGCCTAGGACAAAATCAATGGAAGGAAGTGGCCCTCAGAAGTACAGAATACACTATTAGCAAAGAAGAACAATATTTCAGCATTTTCATCCATAAAATAAAGATAATAATACCTATTCTCCTTAAGTTATGGGGCTATTATACATGTCATAATAATAGATGAGAAAGTGCTTACTAAACCCTTAAGAGCTGCTTACACATCAAGAGTAGTTGGATTTTGTATATCTATACAGATTACTGTTACTTCTCCTATCGTTCTCTTTACTAGTTCAGCTTCTGATAAAACCACTAACTACAACCATATAAGCAAGTACTTTGCCCCCTTGCCGCAGTCTCTCTATCTGAAGAATGGAACTAATAATGATTCCAGATATAGTTTTTTGAAAATTGAATGAGTTATTATGTGTAAAGAATTTAGAAGAGTTTGTGCAATGTGGTCAATGGTATATAGGAATTAGATATTTTGGTTTGACTTTCTCAGCCCTCTCATTAAGAGCCAGAGTTTAGATTAAGTGGACCCAGAAAGCAAATGTCATGGAAGTCATTAATTATCTTGCAGTACTTTTCTATTAGCTCCTTAGTTTTTATATTCTGTACCCACAGCTTTCTCACCATGGATTGCCAAGAAAATGAGTACTGGGACCAGTGGGGACGCTGTGTCACTTGTCAACAGTGTGGTCCTGGACAGGAACTCTCCAAGGTAAGTGCCTCAAATCACTATACATATTTTTTCACAACTTTAGACCAATCAGACAACTGAGAAAGGCCAATATTAGGATAGTCAGGCTCAACTGTGACTCATCTGGTTCAGCAGGTAAAACTTGGCATCCAGAAAATATACAATAATAGTTATAAATCTAACATGAAGTCAGCCTAGCAGGATCAAGGTCAGAGAAGGGTTTAATGAGATAATTTGTAACACAAAGGAAGATGTGTGAAATAGAGGTCCAGGAGGACTATTTGGCTTTACATCAATCTGTCAACTAAAGCAAGACTCAATCATGTAGAGTTCTAGAGTCAGATATCAGGTCTTGGGAATGAGAAAGTATAGTCTCTTGGTGTTGTACTCTGGTTCTTTGAAACCTGTGGAGAGCAGGTGAGGCACCGAGACAAGACCAACTCCGGGGAGGATCTCAGAGAATCACTTCTGCTTTTATTGTGTTGCCTTACAGCTTATATAGCACAGCTCTGGAAACGGGAAGAAAGGGTGTGGGTGGCATATAGAGATTGGCTGAGCCCCGAGAGTCATCAGTCGTTGGGGAACTAGAGGGGTGCAGCAAGCGTGGCCAAGAAGGCTTTCTACACACCGGTTATGGGCATCTTGCATGCCCCCTCTGGTGTCCTACAGCTTGCTACTGGACTTTGGTATGGCACGCCTTCTGGAGCACCCATAAGAAAGAGAAGGATAAAGTGTGGCCTCTGTCTCAAAGACGGAGGTCAGGGCTACTGAGAATACTATGAAAAAGAATGTTGAAGGATTCAGGGATGCAGAACTAGAGGGTGTCTAGAATCCCAATTAAAGATAAAGGTCAGAACAAAACAACCAGTAAGATAGAGAAAAGAGTGACGCTAGAGTTACTTAAATGTTTCTGAGTCAGGTTCCCTGTTCCCTGAACTGGGCATGGTATTAATTGTATGTGGTAGCTTGTGCTACAGAAATTGGAAGCAGAGTTTCTGTGCACTCACATTTTGTATTGATTCATTCAGTGATATGTATTGAACACCCACAAAGTGGCAAACATTTTCATAGGCACCACAGACGGATATGACAAAATAGAGAAAAGTTTTTGCCTCCATGAATATTACCTCTGAATTAGTGTACAAAAATGGGATACAATGTAGATAAATGTAGAATCTAGACCTAAAGATATGACAAAAATTAAATTAGGGTGATATGATACACAGTGACTGGAAAGCTATTTCAAGTTGGGAAGTAGTAGAAGACCTTGTTAAGGAGATGATTTCAGGCGAAGGTTACAGCTAGTGCAGAGTCCCAAGATGAGAATGAACTGGGTGTGTCCAAGGAAGGAAGGTTCATGCAACTGGTAGTACAGTGAGTGAGAGGAAGTGTCATCTATAATAAGAGGGAAAAAGAAGTATGGGCCAGACCGTGTGGGGTTGTGAACACTATGATGAGAAATTCTCATTTTTCTTTTTTTTTGAAGTGCACTGGGAATCATTTGGAGGGTTTTGAGTAGGATAGGGACATGATATTATGGCACAGGAAAGTGAAGCAATTAGTCAGCCTACTTTATCTACAACTCTATACCTCAAAAAGTGAAGAGAATATGACCTAGGGATATCAAGAGATATGAGCATTCATCCTAATTTTAATTCTATGCACACATCATTGTGTCATACAGTAGGATGCCCACGTCGTAGCAACAGATTCTAGGACCAAGAAAGTCTAACAAAGGTTAACACTTGCTGGGTAATAGAGAAGCCTCAATGAAATAATATGCTTGGCTTGACAGAAATATTTCAAATAACTTCAGTCTTCACAATAAGAAGCCTTACAAATGGGACTGGGGATGTAGCTCATTGGTGGACATCTTGTTTAGCATGTGCAAGAACATAGGCTCCATCCTATACCACAAAAAAGTGTTATAAATGTTCCTATCTTATTCTACACATGGCCATTATCTTTAAAACTATCCATATATACAAAGCTGAACTTCAAAGGAAAATATAGGTCTGTCTGTCAAACTGCTATTACCAAATTTATAAAAAGAATCCCACGATGGAAAGAGCAATTGACTTGGTAACTCTCCAAATGTCATTTACTTCAACACCACTAGAAAGCTCAGACAAATTAAGAAATTGCAGTAATGTGCTCCTGCAAAAGCTTTTACACATATAAATAGCTTATACGTATCTGGTCATTCTAGAGCTTTTGAGCACTTTAGCTCATTTGGTTTTTACAACAGTTCTACCAAGACAGTATTATGAGTCCTACTTTATAGAAGAGACAGTTAAAGCTAAAAAAATATGTGGGTTATTCTCAAAGTCACAATGGTGCAGTAAAAATAAATACAAAATCTTTCGACCCAGAGATATCTGAGTTTGATTCTCACCTTTGCTGTTGCCAAATTACTTTATTTTTGAATTAAATAAGTTTTACTAAGTTGAAAAGAGCATATTTCTCTATACATATTTCAGATATATGAAACATTGCTCAAAGTTGCTAATCATCAGAGAAATCCAAATCAAAACCTTGATGAAATATCAACTCACTAGTAAGAATGGCTACTATCAAAAAGGCTCAACACAGAAAGTCCTGCCAAGGATGTCAAAAAAGGAGATCCCTGAAAACTATTGAGGCATTATGTAAATAAACAGTTTGTCAATACCTCAAAAAAAGTAAAAATAAACCTACCATATGATCAGTGATTTTCATCTCTGGGCAAGATATCCAAAGGAAATGAAATAGGATATCAAAGAGGCATCTACACTCCCATGTTCATTGCAGGTCTACTCTCCAATAGCCACGAAATAGAAATGAGCTAAGTGTCTATTGAGTGATGAATAGATAAAGAATATGTTTTATGTATACACAAATGGAATATTGTTAGAACATAATAAAAGCTGGCATTCTGAAAACTTTGGTGGACTTGTGTATGATTATGTTAAGTGCAGTAAGCTAGAATCAGAAAGACAAATACTGCACTTTCTGGGTTGCTGAGACATAATACCCAACATTCACAAGTTGAAGGAGGAAAGACTGATTTTGGCTCACAGTTCGTAGAGGTGTCAAGTGGTTTGTAGAGGTCAGCTGGTTCCACGTCAGGGGAGCATGCCATAACATTCCACCTCTGGCCCCAAAAATATTTATGTGCATACCTTTATGCAAAAGGCATTTACTTCATCTCTAAGAGTTACCAAAATCCTAACAAGTTTTATTATTGCTGAAAAATCCAAGTCCAAAGTTTCCTCTGAGATTTAAGGTAAACTCTTAGGCTCGAGCCCCTGCATAAATGAAAGTTAAACACTTCCAACATACAATGACAGAAGATAAACATTTCCATTCCAAAAGGTACACAAATGGGGGATAGACAAGAGTGGAACTAAAGCAAGTCCAAAATCCAGCAAGGCAAACATTAAGTCCCACAATGCCATGTCCAGCATCTGGGGCAATTCAGCAAGATGTGAACTTCAAAGGACTTAAGTAACTACCTCTGTGTCACCGCCAGTGATTGTAGCTCCCGTGGCTTCTCTCTTCAGCTGGCTGTACTCACGCCTTGCAGCTTTCCTCAGATAACTGATGTTCCTGGCTTCTCTAACCTTCTGGTGGCTCCGCTGCATCTTCAGTTTCACACTCACAACTTCACACACTGCCCTCTCAGGAGCACACTTGTAAAGGTACAAGATCCCAATGACAAATGTAACTGTACTGTATACCTAAAATGCACCAATAAACTCAATGAGAGAAAAAAAAACATTTTATGTTACCTCATTAATGTATGAAATAGTTGTTTTTATAGTTCATAAAATGTACAGTTAAAATGAATTAAATTATCTATGATCAGAGTAAAAAAGTAACACATAACAGCAACTTGAATTATATAGCATATTTATGTACATAAGGAACTCTAGAGACAAGTAACCTATGTCTTGTTGGACACAACAATAGTTATAAAGGACACATTCATCTTTGGCACCTTGATGTTTTATCCCCTTTTTGTGGTTTCATAGTTGACACAACTCAAAGCATCACATCTTTCTTTCTTTTTCTTTTTCTTTCTTCCTTTATTTTCTCCTTTTTTTAGCTTCATTCAGATTTATTAATGAAGAAAACTTGTCCATGTGTACCTCCGTATTAGTGGAACTGTGAGCACTTCTTTCTTCATGAAATTTGTTTTATTTTCTAATTTTTATTGGTATGCTATAGATATACATAATGATCACATTCATCATAGTGAATTTGTCCCTGTACATAATATATCTTGATTCCTTTTTCCCCATTCTCCTTCCCTCCTTCTACCTAGAAGGAAAAAAGTAGAAACAAAGCTCTGCTCTCCTCTCCTCTCCTCCCCTCCCCTC